GTGTCCATCAGTAAAGTTCTGGGCAAATGTGTGGTCTTGTTTGTGAAGGTAAGACCTTCTACAGAACCTGAATAACACACAGAAAACATTGTTTTCTTTTGGATCTGTTCAACTTATCGTGGCTTTTTTTTTTTCTTCTGGTATCTGTAGGATTATTTCAAAATGCAACCCGAGGGCTACAGAGCAGACGATGTCTTCATCTGTGAATCTCGCTACGCCGGCAGGAACAAGTCATTCAAGAAGATCAAGATCTGGGCCGTGCCCATGAGCTCTGTGAAACTTGTTTCCCGTGAGGTGCCGTTGCCTGTTGTCCGTGTGGCTTCCATGTTTGCCAAGCCGGACTATGACAAACTGACCATTTCATATGCAGGCAGCGGAGGCTTTATTGACAAGGTGAGGTGACATTGTGTTTTCTAGGCTTATGACATGGCAATATACAATTTGTTAATATTTGTCACAATATAAATAACACGTGAGTCCTCTGTGTGTCCGTGTTTATTCGTTTAGGAGAGAGAAGATGCCCCCACGGAGATGAGTGGAGCTGATCCCGGCTGTCAGCACTATGAACAGTTGCACTACAACAACATGTGGTTTAGAGTGGGAGACTGTGTTTACATCCAGTCACATGGTCTGTCAAAGCCCCGGGTTGCCAGGTGGGTGAAAGTGTTTCTTTTGCCTCTTTAGTGTAAGAAGCCCTCTTATTATTAGGGTTATTAACTATTGGTAACATGGCTCTCTTCACTGGGCTGCAGGATAGAGAAGCTGTGGGTTCAGAATGGAACTACTTTCTTCTTTGGGCCCATCTTTATTCACCCGGAGGAAACGGAGCACGAACCCACAAAGATGTTCTACAAGAGAGAAGTGTTTCTGAGCCATCTGGAGGAGACCTTGCCCATTACCTGTGTCACAGGTTCTGCTTTAATAACTTCTGTTCACACATCACAGTTAATCCACTTAAGGGAAGAGTTCAACGTTGTGGGAAACAAGTTAAGATATCTGGCAGCGAGTTAAATACGAACATTGATATCACTCTCACATCTGTCAGTCACCAACCAGCATTACACTACGCTCCACCAGAAAGCATAGAAGCTTGTTACCTAAAATGTCAAACTATTATTCATCCGCCTTTTTTCCTTACTGCTACATTTTTTCCAATGTATGATGTCAACACGTTTTTACTCTCACCCTCTGCTCTCCAGGCAAATGTATGGTGTCCTCCTTTAAGGACTACCTGTCATGCAGATCTACCGAGGTTTCAGAAGAGGATGTGCTGCTGTGCGAGAGCCGCTATATCGACACAGAAAAGCAGATGAAAAAGTTCAAGGGTCTGAAACGCTTCTCTTACTCTTCCAAAGTGGTGGAGGACGAGATCTTCTATTTCAGGTCAGTCAGTCAAGCAGAGCACCGTTTCTGATTCAAAGCCGTTTCTTGCCCAGTCTGAATTTCTGTTTGTGTTTTCTCTTGTGCTGCTAATCCTGTGTAGGAAACTGATGGTGCCACAGAAGGAAGCATCGCCCTTTTTGGACAAGAAGATCAACGAGCTTGAGGTCAAACTGGCAGACGTAGAGGACGAGGATATGGAAGACATAGACGACGACGACGAGGCTCCACAGACGCTGTCTATGCCTCTGGTGCAAACCCCTCTTGCAAGCGATACGGATACCGTGCCATACACTCCTCAGGTACCCATACGTCTCCAGGAAGCACAACAAATCTTCAAACCCCATGTTCTAATATTCAAATTAAGACAAACTTTGTTTTAACTCGCATCTTTGTTTCTTCATGAAGTCCACTCCGAAGGTAAAGGGCTTATCTAAGAAGGAAGGAGCCAAGAGGAAGATCAACATGAGCGGCTACATCTTGTTCAGCAGTGAAATGCGAGCGGTCATCAAAGCCCGACACCCAGACTTCTCCTTTGGGGAGCTGAGTCGACTCGTGGGCACCGAGTGGAGGAACCTTGAGGCTACCAAGAAAGCTGAATATGAAGGTGAGAAGAAGCTGTGTGTGGTGTGTGTGTGTGAAAGTGCGCCGATGTGAACGGAAGTCAAGACGGCAATTATTTGTTTGTTTTTCAGAACGTGCAGCCAAAATAGTGGATCAACAAGAGCGTGACAGACCACCACAGAAGCAAGCGTCCCCAAGAGCAGGTACCCCCGTAGGGTCACTGATGGGGGTGGTACCTTCGCCTAGCACTATGGGAATGATAAACCAGACCATGACACCTGTGTCAGGTAACCCCTCTCAGAGGCAGCACGAGTGTTTGACAACAAGGCGGCAGGGAAATGAGGCTGGACTGTTGAAAACCGTAATCCTCTTGATTTTCTAACATTTGAAACATATTTATCTCAAAACTACATTCTTAAAGCAACAGTTTTCTTTTGCTGCTTTTTCACATTGTTTTATGTTTATTTTAGTATCACTAGCTTCACATCGGGAAATGCATGACATTGACTGCATGATTTATTTATAACCGTGAATGACTTTTAAATATTTAAATGCTTGTTTTGCCTGCTAACATTCTCAGACCCGTTTATTTTCTGCCCCTTACGCACACTGAACCTTTAGCATCATCAGGTCCGGTTGTTTGGTTGAGCCAGTGGTTTTTGTTGTTCACACATTGGTCTCTAATGCAGCAGGTCAGTGGCTAGTCTCCTATGACATTGCATGGCTCTCCAGGATAAGAAAGATTTTTGTCAGCACAGCTGGACAACAAAATCCAAAAGTATATCGCAGAAGATGACCATTCTGAATTTACAGAGTCTACCCAGAGGATTGATGTAAATCATGACATTTAAACCATAATTAAGTAAGAAAATGGTAACATCTTGCCAGCTTTAGACCGGGATATTGCTGCTTCTATGTCCATTGGAGTTGCACATTTGTCACTCTCTAACCACTCCTGAGCAAACATAATTACAAGAGCATGTGTAGCTGAAGGTGCATGTGTGAAAGGGGCCACAGTGTGCAGTAGTAGTGCATGTTATCATAGAGTCAGCTGCATGTCACTTATGCATGGATATGTTGTCCTCTCCTTGCACCCTTCCTAAAGGCATGATGGGAGCTTACGGCCCACCTTATATGCCCATGCAGGGCCCCCATGAGGGCTTGTTGAGTGTGGCCACAATGCTACCTCACCCTGCAGGGGGGCCCCTCCTGCCTCATCACCATCTCCAGCAAGGTATGCCTGGGTACCCTGGCATGCCTCATCAGGGTAAGGTCCACTGTCCTAGTCACACCAGCTCAGTCCCATCCAGTCGTGTCTCTCCTGCTGGAGGGGTTTACCTGGTCCACAGGCTGCACTGCCTGAGCTACTCACTGAGCAGTCGTAGCACTCTGAGAGAGGTTGTTGGAGACCAAAGTGTTCTCATGTCACACCTGAAATATACAGGATCCACATTCACATTTACAGATGTAATTCATGTGAAAACAAACCATGCTACTAGTATTCACCTGATATACAAGAAGTAACAATTTCACAAGTCATTGTAAAACATTGTTGTAGTTCTTAACATAAAACAACCCAGGATGAGTTATTAAATACACAAACTAAATATTGTCATTTAACAGGTATGATGGGCGCTGGTATGAATGGTATGGCAGGAAGTCCTACACAAGGAAGCTTTATGCAACAGGTGAGCTCAGGTCCTAAAAACATACTTTTCTACTTAATATGAAATTCCGTCATGCTGCGTTTTCACTGAAGAATGTGTAAATAAACTAATTAAAGCCTTGTTGCTGGTTGTTATGTATAACACATTTATTGTATCGTATTATTCTTAGGATTCAATATTCCACATATTGTCCACATGCTAATTTTCATTGTTGTATTTTAGCCTGGCATGTTCAGCCCAGGACCGCACGCTCCCCCACCATATCCAGGACAAGGCCCGCCCTCACACCTGCAGCCCACCACTCCCATGTTTGTGGCTCCACCACCAAAGACCCAGAGGGTGCTCCACTCAGAGGCCTACCTCAAGTACATTGAGGGCTTGAATTCGGAGTCTACCACCGTCAGCAAGTGGGACCAAACGCTCAAAGGTGGTGTTCCTTAAGTCTTCTTTTCTCTCTGTGTGTGCGCGTGCGCATGGGGAAGCTTTCATGTGGACACAATATTGATGGTACTGAAACTTCATATTATACCACAGATTTAACCCACATGACTGTTTTAATGATCTTACTACCCTGTGATGTCTTAGTTATTAAGATGCTAAAGTCACCATATCAGAGCCTGTTTTTATGTTGTAAATATCTTTGCTATTAATGGAAATATGATTACTGTTTACATGTAAATCAGGAACATTACATGATAGAAGCAAAAGTAATACATTATCTGCTTACTGAGCATAATCAGCTCTTGTGCCTCTTGATTTTGTGTGCTTGAACAAAAGGAGAAACATCACCCTCACACGAATGAGCATCATTTTCTTGTTAAACTAACTTCTCAAACCCTGCGTTTCCATCCCAGCTCAAAGGCGCGATACTTACATGACCAAAGAGCAGGAGAGCCGGCTGCCAGCACACTGGCTGAAGAGCAAAGGAGCCCACACGACCATGGCGGATGCACTGTGGCGCCTGCGTGACCTGATGCTGAGAGACTCTCTGAACATCTGTCAGGGATACAACCTGTAACTTGTAGGAATGACCACTATAGCCAGCTCACCCACTGCTCTTATCCTCAAGCTACGGAGTTTAGGAAGGATGATAGACGATAGAAGCAATATTTTATAGTGAATCCTGATCAATTTTATATTTATTAGCTGATATAATGAGCTTCATAGTTATTTGTGTGCATTTTCTTTTCTTACACCACGGGATTGAGTGTGCTGCAAAACCCACTGTTGTTGTTTTTGGCTTATTGATACTACCAAAATAAAAGTCTCAGCACCTTGTTCATAATGTTTGTCCCCATTGTTTGTCTCCAACACGCCTTACTTTGCACTTCTGATAATATGAAGAACGTGATGTCTCTTCACCAGATAGTCCTGCATTATTCTGGAAGTACTTCCTCTCTGGTGATGTCACTTCCCGAAGAGAGAATCTCGACAGAGCCATTCTCTTTAGTGTTTGCCCTGTTCTCCCAATGTCCACCTCCTCTCCGCCCGCATTTTGATATATAAATAACACAGAAAACTGACCATTAGCCGAAGCAAACGGTAGTGAATCAACGTGTATTATGGAGTAACTTAAAAACTGAACAAAAGGAACGACGAGGTGAGGTTTATATTTTTGGCAGTGACTTGTCGGGCTTTTGGCTAACGTTAGCTAGCGAGCCATTTCACCGGCTCTTCCCACACTCCCTGTGAATTATTTTGAGACGTTTAACTAGCTCGTAAACTAGTGTCAAGTACTGCTGTCGATGCGGCGCGAGTGCCTTCTTCCTCGAGACTCCATTGCTGCAACCTTTAAGTGTTGAGGATCATTTTCACGGAGGTCCCGTTATGTCCACCCTCTTGCCACTGCACCCAGTTGAGCTAGTCGGCTAACGTGGTCCTCTGGGGAAGCTTTGCAAAGCTACCGGTCGGCCTCCTTTTATTGACAGCTTGTTGTCTTAATAGCGGTAATGTCTGCTGCATAGACGTCTTCACACAGACGGTCTACTCAGTATGGAACATACAAGCTCGGTGATGTGAGGAAGATTATGCTCCATGTCGTAACAGCTAGCTAGCTAGCTAGCTGGTTAATTGTGGCATATAGAAGCTGACTTTTTTCTAATGTGTACGTTTATTTATACTGTCGATGTTTAGCAGCATGAGGTACGTTCTAAAAGCAGCTGATTGGGATTTTAATTAAATCGCATGTGAGCGAAGGCTCCAAGGGCCCCACAACACCCAGACTGTGACAGACACCTCCCAACCGAGCCCCTTGTGATGAGCACACGGTGATTACAGAGTTGTTTGTGTTGACAACCGGACTAACGTTGTCTCTGTCAACACGTCGTGTTACATTGTGTGGTTGTCCTCGTGTAATGTTGGCATGAGGGGTATAGTGCTGTGTTGGGTCCCTGCACACAGATCTCTAGAAAATAATATACAGTATTATGAGACCTGCATGTTGTTATTATTTACAGATGTGTAAAGCTACCAGAGTTGTCATATTGTTTTAACGTGTTGTAAATTAAGTAATCTATAAAAGTCACAGTGAAACAAATAACGTGAACTCCTTCATGATACTCCTCAGTATTGCCACAGATGAAATATCTTAATATCTTAAATATATCTAAAAGGATAGACATATTGACCAATAACAACAGTGCAGAAACAGGACCACAACACAAACATTTGAATGTTTATTTAAGCGCATCCTGCTACTGTTTGTCATATAATGAGAGAACGATATGCTTTTTTTTCCTGGACTTTTTACTGCTGTCTAGAAAAATTCATATGGGCCTATTTTCAGTTTAACACGCGTGATGATTAAAGGTGACAAACGTATCTTCTCGAGGTGTAAAGTTCAGTTTGAGGGTGCAAAAGCTGCCTGAGAAGCTCAGTGGTTAGAGGTGTTGCTGCACAACCAGAAGCCATCTGGTGGCTCAGGTTAGCCAGCTGAGGCCCCTTTTCTGTCGGCTTTGCATGTTCTTTCCGTCATGTAATTTTCTTCATATGTAGAAATGAGCACATCTTAGTTACTTATCTTACATCCTGACTTTACAGGCAGCGCTTACATTCAGACTTCCTCGGTCAACAGTTCCTCCCACTTCGGCATTCACCATTGCTGCACTACAAAGCCCCCATCTCGACCTCAGCCTAAGATCGACTAAGCTACACCAACGAAGATGTCCCAGCTCCAGTTTCAGTGTCCGGCTAGCCCCATGCCTGCTGCCTCCGCCCCACTGCAGCTGGGGCAGCCACAGCCTTGCTACAGCATCCCCTGCTCTTCAGGCACTCTACCCTCGGAGAGCGCCAGCCAGCCCATCAGGAGTTCCGCTCTCCCTGCAGGCTCAGCCACGCCCTATAATACCACCACAGGTTTGTTTTATGCATATTTTTCATTGGTGCCACAGTAAAGTACCTTTTTGTCTAGCCACTAACATTCGGAGGGCTCTCTGTATGCCATAGCCATCTGAAATATTTAAGGTTGTATGCTTCTTATTTTAAAAGGTTCACGAAGCCCTGCGCCTCTTTTTAAGACGCTTTGTGTATTTGACAGACTTTGGGACTGGCAGCAGCCCTCCTGTTTTAGTAGTCATGATCATAGTTGTGAGTATTTTAGATCTTTTTTTTGCTTTGTCACAGTATCTAACATGGCAAACCCTAAAGAGAAGACCCCCATGTGTTTGGTGAATGAGTTAGCCCGTTTCAACAAGATTCAACCGGAGTATAAGCTGCTGTGTGAGCAAGGACCAGCTCACTCCAAGGTACTTTTAGAGTCATTTTTTTACAGACGAACAATGCTGTTGTGTGGTGTCACAAGTTTTTGCCATACTGACGGCCAATCTATTGTATTTCCTGTCTCCCGCGCCTGTCAGATTTTCTCAGTCAGGCTCACACTGGGAGATCAGCACTGGGAGGCAGAGGGGACCAGCATCAAGAAAGCCCAGCATTCTGCTGCTGCATCGGCCCTCACTGAGACGACACTTCCCAAGCCCTCCGTGAGGATGCCCCGCAACACAGGCAAGAACCCAGGTGGGCTCATCCCACTGGCCATGTTGCTCTCTTTCTAATGTTTGTTAACACTTAGCACAAAAGAGTTTTCTCATGTGTAGTTTTTTCATCTTTGGTTTGTTGGTGTTTCTTTGTGCTGGCCTTACAGCAGATGGCATGACACACACCATGGAGTTAAATGCACTATGTATGAAGCTTGGTAAAAAGCCTATGTATAAACCCATCGACCCATATCCGGGGATGAGACCACCAAACTTCAATTACAACGTCCGGGCTCCGGGACCTTACCAGCGACCTATGCAACAGTGAGTTTCCTCTCTTGGAAATATATATAAAAGAAGACATTCTTCCATTTCTGTTCTGATTATGGAATATTTTATGAAGTTTGATTTTGAGATGAAAAAACCCCTCTTTTTTTTGTGTGTGTCCAGGTACTATTACCCATTTCCTCCAGTGGGACCAATGATATACCATATGGAGCTTTCCATCGGAGGCCAGCAGTTTATTGGAAAGGGACGCACACGGCAGTTGGCCAAACATGAAGCTGCTGCCAAGGCCCTGAAAGTGCTTCATAAGGAGCCAATATTGCAACAGTTGCCAGTGGTGAGAAAAGAAGCGCACACTCAGCATGAAATATTGCTAGAAAGCCATTGTGCAATTTCATTCAGGATTTTCTTTCTTTAATATTCTCCTCCTCTCGACAGATGAATGGAGAGCCCGAGGAGGAGAACCTCAACAAATCAGAAATCAGTCAAGTGTTTGAAATTGCACTGAAACGCAATTTACCTGTCAACTTCGAGGTGATTTATGCATTTTCTTTTTTGTAAATGTTTATAGGAATACGTCAGTTCAGTGATATGTAGACAAAATGCATAATAATAATAATAATAATAGAACCCACATGCTCCTCTGTATCATGATTTGTCTCTGTTGTTTTCCAGGTTTTAAAGGAAGAAGGCCCTCCCCATATGAAGAGTTTTGTAGTGTGCGTTACAGTCGGGGAGTTCACTGGAGAGGGCGAAGGAAAAAGTAAAAAAATTGCCAAGAAGCTTGCGGCAGCTGCAGTGCTGGGGGAGTTGAGGAGGCTACCTCATATACCCAGTGTGGAAAAGACACTGCCACGCATCAAAAAGAAAACAAAATCCATCATTAAGGTAATGCAACCGGTGAGCTGCAATACGTATAATCAGTACAGACTTAAGGACTCCCCGTTCAGTAACGATTCATTTGTCACGCCAATAGCTGCAGACCAGCCCAGAATATGGCCAGGGCATGAATCCCATCAGCCGCCTGGCTCAGATCCAGCAGGCCAAGAAGGAGAAGGAACCAGAGTACAGTATGGTGACGGAGAGAGGTCTACCTCGGCGCAGGGAGTTCGTCATGCAGGTGATTCAACGGCATGCCGTCATGTGCAACATCTGTCTGTGTTTCACTCTGCCTTTCCTTGTGGATGTCTCACCCGTCCTGTCCTTTCCTCTGTGATCGCTGGACGTTTCGTGGAACAGGTGACAGTGTGCGGCCAGACTGGCGAAGGAATGGGACCCAGTAAGAAGGTGGCCAAGAGGAATGCAGCAGAGAAAATGCTGGAGCTCTTGGGATATAAAGTGCCTCAGCCTCAGCCCCCGAAACCGGCACTCAAAACAGATGAAAAGGTACTGCTGCACCTTTTGTCAAGCATGTCCGGTGAACATGGCAGACAAGAAAGATTCGATATCTGTGACAAACGTTCATTCCTTCTATATTGTTTTTATAATATATTTAGACCCCAGTGAAAAAACCTGGTGATGGGCGCAAAGTGACCTTTTTTGAGCCTGGCTCTGTAGAGGAGGTGGCATTGAGTAAGTGATCTACTGAACGCAAATATTTGGCAGTGGTCGTATTGTGTAGTTATTGCCGTTGTGCTAATGCAGTCTTTATAAATGTGCTTTTCCTTTTGAAGGTTCCAAGGAGGAGTTCCGCCTGCCTTACTTGAGCCACCAGCAGCTGCCTGCAGGTATCCTGCCCATGGTCCCTGAAGTGGCTCAAGCAGTCGGGGTCTTCCCAGCACCCCAGAATAAGGACTACAGTCGAGCTGTACCCAACCCCGGCAAGGCCACGATCACTGCCATGATTGCCAACGAGCTGCTTTACGCAGGGACGTCACTGACTGCTGAGACTATCCTAAAGAACAAAAATAATCTCAACCAACTTCCCCACGGACCCCTCACCAGGCCTTCAGAACAGCTCGGCTTTCTGTCATCGGTGCAAAGCCTGCAGGTAACTGACAGCATGTTCTCCTTGGGTGAATTCAATGAGGCCATTTTTGAGCATGCATTTGATTTAGACTAAAAACAGGTAAAGATTCATTGACATTTTTTATTTGCTTGCAGGTGGACTACAAAGATTTTCCCCAAAACAATAAAAATGAGTATGTATCACTCATTAACTGCTCCTCCCACCCACCGCTCATCAGTCATGGGATTGGGAAAGATGTAGAATCCTGTCATGATATGGTGAGTTTTTTTTTAAAAACTACAACATGTATCGTTCCGGTTTAATACTCTTTTAACAACCTTAACAACCTGCAAGGAATAACGTTGTGTGTGTGTGAACTCTATTAGCTATCAGAGGAGAGACGACTTTACAGCCAAAAATTGTAAATGTGAGAGTCTGGAAGGACGGGGCAGTCTCTAGTAATACAACCAAAAGGGATGAAATGCTGACAACATACAAACTGTTTGTAACCTTCTACAGTATCAGTCCTTGCGTAACAATATTAAGTTAAATCAAAGCTGAAACATATTTAGCTTGTTGAGAAGATGCCTAATGAAGTGTCACTCACAATAACATCATCCAATGATAGCAAAGCAGGAAGTATTTCACACTGTTTGATATATACTTCACTTTTACTTTATTATCCGTTAGATTTTCATCAAATTTAAGTTAATTCTTTTACCCTGGGCTGAATCAATTCCTCGAGAAACTTTAATTACTCGATTATTACAAATAATGAATGCAAAGGATCTGCAGGAGGCGGAGGGAGAGCTGGTTGATGTTGGCTGTGAGCAGCTGCTGGCCTGCACAGCCCTGCTTGCCTAAATAACAGAGTTGCATTACGATGCGTTCAATTTCTATTCTGTAAAAATAACTATTGAGAGATAAATTTAAAACAATAATGTTATGTGTTCAAATATAAACTTGTAAAATGTAGTTTTTGGCAAAAACCTGAATATATATATATAGATATATATATATAAAGTTGTTTGATGGAGATGTTTTCACAGCAATATAAATTAGATACTAGAGAGAGAGTTATAACATGTTTAACTTCCTAACATTAGCCCTAAGCAGCTGATAAGACTTAATTAAAACTACTAATGCTTTATTGTGTGTGGGTGGAAGGGGGGGGGGGGGCTAGTTCAACAGGATGTTATTGAGAAAGGTCACAGCCGATGGAATAAAGGACTTGTCGTCATCGTTCCTCCGGGCCACTGCAGTAACCTCTACTGTTCTTCACCTCTTCAGGCCGCGTTGAATATATTGAAGTTGCTCTCGGAGTGGGACCAGCAGTCCAGTGAAAGGACAGGAAATGGACCAGTGTCTCGGTAAGCTGTGGCAAACAGCTACTCGTGACGTACCTAAAGCTGTGTTTACAATAAGCCCTTCCTTCTGCTAATAACCATTATGAATAATCAGAATAAACACTTCAATCAGCATCAAATGGAGATGTTGTGTTGTCACTTGTGCTCTACTAATTTTCCAAGTGCTGCATGTTTCCCAGGGAACCTTGGGAGATAATCTATTCATTTTCTGAACATAAACCGAAGGCTTTGCTTTTGTTTAATAACTGTGGTCGTAGTAGAGGCTCATAAAACAATGTTGTTTGAGGACTAAAAGCACTGCCGTGGGCCAGTAACAGCTTCAAGCATTCAACGTGGCCCATGACCACCGGTTGGATTGGGTGTTTTGCATATTTTTTGTTTGTTGTGTAAACAGGATAGTTTACACGTATAAATACTTCTATGGGATTTATAAATTCAATTAAATACAGCAAGATGAATGAACACTGGTGCACGCGAACACGGCCATGAAAGGAATATTTTGGGACTGATTAACTGTTAACAGTGACACTATATGCGTCTTGTTTTCTACAGGTGTGGCAAGCAGGACATGGAGGGTGACTTGCACCTCAAACAGGCTAACTCAAGCACATTGGCACAGACCCTGGATGGCACTGTTTAGATGATCAGGTTTGGTTGTCTGTAAAAGCACTAGAGAGAACTCGGACACTGTTATTAGTTTTATAAGGCTACAGGAGGCTCCTGTAGACTCTAAACTATCACTCCTCATATTCGTCGTTCCTAAATGTTCACAGTTAAACAAGATTGAAAAGGAAACAAATAGATTCCTCCGCTTGATTTTGTTTAATTGTGCACAGTATTTATTTTTGTTTCTTCGTAAAAAACATTGCTGCATCCTAGTCAATGAGTTGAGGGGTTTTTACCTGGTGGAGGAAAAAAAGAAGCAATTAACTGTGAATTCTGTTGTTTTCTTCCTTTGTGTGACCTTCTCATTCTTGTTTTTAAGTCTTTTACGTCTCATCCCCCGCTTAGTTCATCTAACAACATGTTGTAACGCTTTGGACTTCTTCTTTGTCTAGGGTGCAGCTGACGAACCTCTGTTGATTTTCCTAGAGTGCTTTATATCAACAACCACAAGTGAAGTGTTACTGACATTACCATGTAGGGCTGGGAAGCATTTGCGACTAAATGTAGCGTGTGATGTAATTTGAAGTTGTCTCTGCCTGTGTGAACGGGGACGTTTCCCTGTTGCGTCACTTTCTCCGATACTCCACTTCCCTCCCTTATGTCAGCCTCCCTTCTCTCTCCGCTCCCCATGGTAATTAAACTAACGTGCAGACGTGCACACAACAAAGACTTTGGTTGTCTTGTCTTTTTCTTCACCTGCTAGTAGCTGCTGGATCATTTATTAGCATTTATCAACCTATAACTGTCGAACACTATTGATGCATTGAACAGCAATTTGATTATTTACGATGTTATTTATTATGCATTTGCCATATTGTGAAATATATTATTAATATATAAAAATCTAAGAAATTGCTCAGCCCTAGGGTTCAATGCAGTCTTGTGTATCGTTTTAAATTTGATCAGTTCTGATGGTGATTCTTCCGATCAAAGCTAAGTTCTGATTATTATAATATTTGAGTTCTTAAAATAAAAATAGCACCTTCATTTTCATAAGAATTTAGCTGCTAGGTATTTACGTCACATAATCAAAAGGTATTCAGTGATTCATTTTGATACAAAGCTAAAATCAAGAAACATGTAAATATTATTTTTATGCAAAAGTTTGATGTTTTTAATTTGTATTCTAGTGCCCAAACGAGCTCATTCTGGGATGTAATGACAAGACATTTCAAACAGTGCTGAAGGAAATGCTTTATCATCAGTCATACTTGCTTCCTTGCATGAAAATAGTTTTGCGCTGTCATTACTTTGTATTGTGTCGGTGCTGTCTTCTGATAATAGCCTCTCTTGTAATACCCACTACTTACTGCTAACATCATTACATTTCTACCTTCATCAGCGTTATTACTCTTTTTGATTATTTTCATCCTTGTGAAATTTAAAAGAACACAATCGCACAAATCACTGGCTCTCATCACACAGCGTGTTTAGCGTAGTGGTTTTCAATCATTTTATTTTATGCAAACATAAGACAGCACAATACTCTGGTACATTATTCAATTACAGATATTAAAGTCACTCCGATTCCCCTGTTGGCTGGTTCAGGATTCAGTCACTACAGTATTGTGTCATTATACAGGTGTGTGGTTGAAACAGTTTGTTAAACTCCATCTGATCATTGCTGAAATGTTTTTTAGGGTGCTGATGACCACTTGGCTGAGTCGTCATCTAGCACACACTTTAATTTGAAGGTTTTGAATCCCAAACGTTGTCTTAGGTGCACTTAGGTACGACTATGCAACCTTAACAGAGCCATTAGTTGTTTGTTTCTTCTTGGCTTCAATGAAAGGGTACATGCACTTGTCGGACCCCATGAAGCGATACGTAACCACATTTGATTCCCATGGCAGCAGTCTGAAAAAGAACAGACAATACTGAACATCAGCTGCTAAGCAATGGAATTGCACACAAAAAAAAAAACAGACTTGTATATGGTCTCTGGTTAATACGAAGGTGTATAGCTTTGTTCTTACGCTCTGCAGAGGAAAGGCAGGTATGTGAGGCGGGGGATGCACACTAATGGTTGGTCTATCACGATGGCGTTCATGGCCTGCTCCACACAGTACTGGGGCTCCAGAGGCGGTAGAAACAGTTCCACTTCCTCCCTAGTGGGGGCATCAAAGGACAAGCACTTATGAGCTGGTATTTAGCATTTTGACAGTACACCCAAACAGCCACACACAGCAGAATGCCAAGTCCATTCAACCATATTCCTGTGCTGCAATTTGTACAAAAGTCAACAGGAATTTAATTGAGCATATGAACATAAACGTTTCAGAACGATTACTGCAAGAAGATACGTTGTAAACCTAAATCCAGAGGAACAGAAGCAAGCCAGCAAGTCTTTAATAATTGAGTTCATAGAGGAAACGTGACGACATAATGGTGGATATTTGGTGAGTCTTTGTTGGTTGGGTTGAAATCACCGCATTCACGTTTTAGGAAATATCATTTAATGAATGGATGTGATTGAATTGGGCACTATACATACATTTTGTTTACATACCGTATCTTGCAGCCTTCAAACATGCCTGTGTCTACGATGTAAGGGCACACAAGCGTAGTCTTCACTCCTTCAACCTCCTCAGCCAGCAGCTCATGTGCCAGAGACTCGTGGAAGCCCACTGCAGCAAACTTACTGGCACAGTAATCCTGTCTCAAACGAAAATCAAAACTGCTATTGAAGAATTTATTATTTACACAATAATTTAAAGTACCTTAGACCTGCTCAGACAGCTGCTTTTGTGATATGCATTTTAATTAGATACTTTATTTGCTGACTTAGACAGAGAAGTGAGAGAACAACAGTATCTTTCTGGTGCAGTGATGTTTCTCTCTCCCTGGTTCACCTCGACACAAGCTGTGCTGAAGAGACCCAGGACGCTGGCAATGGTGACGATGTGTCCATGATTCTGGGCCTTCATCTGAGGGAGAAAGGCCTTCACTGTCTGAGGCAGGCATGCACACACACGCATACGCACACACAAATACACACGGGTACATTGTTAGATTGCAGCATGTTATTATGAGGCAACAAACCGTGTAGTGTTCTTACGACTTAAATGACTTAAATGTTGCTCAATGTGAAGGAAGCTTATGTTTTCAAGCAGCTTCATATTAAGAGGATTTATGCAGGGATCACTGTGTAGTCCATAGTGTGAAGGGGATAAAGCTGTTAACGCCATACATTTTACATGTCATGTGTCACACTGTGCACAATAACCTGCTCTGTATAGCAGCTGATGCTCAAAAGATTGTACATTGTGAAGATCAAAAGCTTAATTTCCACCTTTCTAAATTTCAGTCCGTGCTAAATCATTGTCCGTGTCATCTTCCGCCTTTTGTGGCTATAGTATTTACTAATACTGGCACACAATCAAATATGTCACAAAAAAAAGTCAGAATTATGATCAATATTTGATTTCATTCACAACAAAAGTTACTGATTGGGAAATATGAACACAATTTACTCCATTACCATGATTAGAGAAGCGATTATTTTTCTGGATGAGCAGATTAATAAGAAGTTTCATCCTAAGTACCTGTACCGAGCTAACATACAAATGAATGCATAGATCCTCCTCTGTCCTCGTGGTAATAGGACGTTTAGTACTATGTAATAAGTCATGGGCAGCTGGACTTCCTGTCTGGTCTAAAGGATGTTGTCTGAGAGGCCTCAACACTTTAGGTGTGATTGGTGAAATATCTTAACACATTTTAGTTTTGACTAAAGAGTTCTCACCCAGAAGAGGGCATGGCAGTTGACTTTCATGGTCCTCTCGATGAGTTCATCAGGACAGTCTAACATCCGCTCCCCAGCCACCACTCCAGCGTTGTTCACCAGTATTGTAACGTCCCGGCCCAAGTCCTTTCGCACGAGCTCGGCGCTGCGATACACATCGTCCCTGTTGGTCACATCCACCGTGTAAGCGTACGCCTTACCCCCCATCTCACGCACCAGCTTGGCTGTCTGCTCGTTGGGACCACTGTTTATGTCCCACAGCACCACCTCTGCCCCGTGCTTGGTGAATTCCTGAGCAAAGAGACGACCCAGGCCGCCACCTGATCCGGTGATCAGCACCAGCTCGCCATCAATGGGCTTGGTGCGCGGGCGCAGGAAAACCCGGATAGAGTTGCGCAGGATGAAGTAGATCACATCTAGCAGCATCATCTGGAGGTCCATTAGGAAAATCATTTCGGACAACTTTACTGCTGATGGTCTTGATCAGCAGCCTACAGTGGATTACACTTCACACCTGTTATCTGTGAAGGTGTGTTTCCTATACGGCCTGACTAAGCGTTAGACTGTGTTAGTGAAAAAGATGCAGCCAGCCAAGCTGGTGTTTCCCTCCTTCTGTGACCCTCAGCCTCCATCCGTGGTTTATTTAAACACTCTCCTCCTGGATTAGAGGAAATACCTTGAGCTCCTAATGAAATCACTGTTGATGCAAGTTGTGAATGTGCTTTTTCACCATTACTGAGACAAATAACATGTGCCAGACGGCATCAACACTGAGTTAAAGATTCTTGAAGCACATTATTATTCTAAAGTTCACAGCCTACACATACTGAACACTCAACATAGGCTACCTCTAAATACTATATTACACATAACTATATGAAAAACCTGCATCTTTATTTACATATAAATATCTGCATTACATGTTTATTCAAACACCTCAGTTTATCTCTCAGGCATATACTGTATAAACAGCCTCAACTGTACCAGGACTAAAGAATACTTTATATAATTTGCGTATGTATGTGTTATGTATTTATGCAATAGTATTTTAAGTAATAGATAAGTAAGAAAATGAGAATCAACATCTGCTGATTGAGTACAAATACTCTAACCTTATAGGCTCGCAGACATCTTGTACACAAGTGCAGTGGCTCAGATGTTTGTACTGCTGCATCACAGCAAAGTTGTAGTTAATCATTTAATTCAATTTACATTTTTGGTTCACCGTGCAAGGACGCACTTTAGTTCCAGTTCTACCTCTGCCCCGCAATCATATTATTAAATAAGAACATAAGGAGATTATGTTAATGGAAACTTTAAATCTCTGCATTGTTACTTATGTCCCAAGAAAGCTGCTTAAATTCACTGAGAAACCTAATACATCGCAATAATCACCTCCATTGTTGTAGCTGATATTACTACCAGTAATGTAAAGGTTATCTATGTATATCTGCAGTATATTTTAAAGATAATGAACAACAACATTTTAACCAGGTGGATTTGTTTTATTTTTTCTCGCAACAAATATTTATATATATATATTTATATATTTATTTTTTCTAAAGCACAGAATGTACAGAAATAGGCCAAGGCTGTAAAAGGAGTTTCGTTTAAATACTGCCAATAATTTTGCCCTACTGTGACTTGTTGAGCAACACTTGGAAACAGCAAAGATCACATCAAAGTGAGCGTCTTAAATCTGGTGGTAAAAACCTGAACATTGGCATGCAGCTCAAGTGATGTGGATCCAGTGGGCAGCTTTTTCTGATTGTTTCCCAGCCAGTTGAAAATATTTTACTGTAGTGTTTTCTACTGGCGGGAAGCCATCCAACACTGGGCCATTTCTGTCTTTTCAGAACTGAGTTAATCGAATCTGTGCAACTTTCAATCTTCAAGTTGCCTGATAAAAAAAGAGAAAGACATAAGAACAGGAGAGAGGGCGTGAGTGGTGTCTATGGGCCAGCAGTTGTATCCAGTTAGTGCTGAGTGTCTGTTTAATGGAGCAATCAATGCTCATCATCTCTAAAGCAGTTTTGTAGGGGGTCACGAGGTAGAGCCACACATAGGGAAAAGACTTCACAACTGTCATGGTAATGCTTTTTCACTGTGTCTATATATGTTTCCCTCAATTGCTCATCATGAGCTTGTGGTGTTTTGAGCAGTAGCTATAATCTTTCAGCTCACCCGTCTTTCTGTTCCTTTCTTCTCCCTGGACACACACAGTGGAAGGCTGCTGGGAATCTTAGTTCGAGTGAGCCTGCACTGCCCACATTGTTGTTCTTTTTGCATGAATAACCTCAGCCACAGGAGTTTCATTAATCCACTGTTTTCACATGTTGAGGCACATGTGGGCCTGGGAAGCTGGCTGCTACCGCAGAGAGAGAGAGAGAGAGAGAGAGAGAGAGAGAGAGAGAGAGAGAGAGAGAGAGAGAGTAGATTTTTTAATATATTTTACTGATGGAAAAATGTAAAATGCCATGTAAATGCTTCCCAGTGGGGGTCCATATGTTACTCTGTTTCTGCCACTCAGCCCCGGTAATTAGGTGTGCTTTCTTAATTTAATTCAGGCAGGCTAATGCTTAGTATATTGTAATGCAGGACAAACTATAATGTAAATTAAAATACAGTGAAAAAAGATTTTGTTTTATACTTTTGGGAAGATCGAGCAATGCATTTGGAGAGGTAACAAATCAACCATAACACTTAACTGTATCTGAACTGTTCCTTTAAGAGATACAGAGTTGACACATGAATAACTTCCAACTCACCGGTCAGTGCCTCAACGACTGTTGGTCGCATTACTGACCCGACCGATCACAGATGAGAGGAGTGAGTTATTATTAAGACTTTAACAGGTCAGAACTTTCAAACACTGGTGAATAACTTCTGATTGGGATTACTGCTAAATCTATTAAAGTGTTGCATTATAACAGAGCCCACTAAACGAGTTGAACTGCATGTGGTGTGGACTGTCGTGATGACAGTCGGGAGGAGCAGTTCTGTCACCTTGGTTTGTCTCGGGCTCTCTTTATTCCTCGTGGGTCCGTGTCAGTCGGGCTGTCGGGAAACGGGTCTATGTTGCACCGGCAGGGACCCGTCATGCATCAGCAAAGGATGGAGGTCCGACGGGTCCTATGGCCCCTGCTACTGCGACCAAGCATGTGTCTCCACTCTGGACTGCTGCCACGACTATGAGACAGTCTGCCCAGGTGTGTTCGTGCTGGCAAGAAAACTTCTGTTTCTCAAATATTGAATTCAATGTAATCTATTACAAAACATTGTAATGTTGATATTAGTGAGACTGACTTTTTTGTTTTGTTTTGAATTCTTAATAAAATAGCCATCATATAGCCTACACCAGGAAAACATAGGCCTAACCAAACTGATACAATGACATTTACATAATTATATTACTATTTCATATTAAAAGCCAAATTTGCTGTGGAACTAGGTGGCTTTGACAATTGTTAATAGTGTGGCTATCATATTTACTGGAGGTCTACGATGTCACTGAAATGTTCTGATTTGTTGACATTCTCCCTCAGCTGCATGTGCTCTGTCTCTTCTCCCTCAGCGCTGTCCTGTGTGGTGAGTGAGTGGACGGAGTGGTCAGGCTGTGCTGAGCCCTGCAGGGCCACAGTCCGCAGGCGGAGCAGGACGATCCTGCAGGAGCCACTCAACGCAGGCAGACCGTGTCCCAATCTGGAGGAGCAAGCCGGCTGCGCAGAGTTCTGGTCCCAGCAAGGGAACTGTCACAACCCACTTGGTGAGAAAAATCTGCATGGATCCTTCCGCACATCTGTGTGATCATCACATTATTCTCTGACACTCGGTGGAATAACTTAATCCTGTTATCTAGTCCACCTGAAGACAGCAGAATTTGTGACGGTAAAAGTTATTAAGAATAAATATCACTTGGTATAGCAAGGTTATTCAAAAGATGAATAAAGATGATTGATTAAGCAATACCACATCTGAAGCTGAATAGATGGAACAGACTGCAATGTAGAAAAAAAACACTCTTACTTGTTAACTGACCTGTAAAAGACAATTAAAGACTCAGTGAATACAAAAGTTCTGATAATCCTACATGTGCTGTCTTTAATCATTTCATTAATATGTTTCATCATAATATATGCTGCAGTGGCAATTTAGCATGTAGTAAGAAGAGCAGAAATACCGATTTTGACAACCCAGTCTGTTCTATTACCTGTTTCTATTGACAAGGATTTATACAACTGTACAGAATATTTTGTTCTGATGTATGTTTTGATGTAAAAGAGTGATCGTAGGATACGGATGCACGGGGTCTTAAGAAATATGTATTAGTTCAAGCAGTATCATTTAAAACCATCTGATGAAACACATGAGTAAATCTGTTTCTTCTAGCTTCCCACGCTGTTTCACACCAGATAATCTTGTACTTTCATGAACATTTTCCTGCAGCACATGCTCATTTAAAAGGTATTAGGTACTGCAACATATGGTCGCATGTAATGTTCTCATCATGGATGCTCCCTCTGTAGTCCCAGCACTGATTATCACAGGAGGCTATGGCAACGCCAGGAACAAAAGAGACATCCCTGACAGCAGCGACATTATAATAGGGTAACAAGTTCTGACTGTTTTTTGCCTTTGATATGTTCTCATGTATTGTCAATATGCATTTACTCTGAATTTGGTTCGTGTATGTGTGTGTGTGTGTGTGTGTGTGTGTGTAAAATAGGTATTGTGTCCAGTTTCAGTTGACCTCTCTGACTAAAGGATGCCAGCAGAGTTCGGGCCCACACACCCAGTGGATGCAGCACCTGAGGGAGGGGCACCATGTGTGTGTCGAGTGCCAGCCGCCAGCTCTTGCTGCTGGACAGACGCATTGTGCCGGAGACGGAGAGGAAAATGAAGAGGGCAGGTAACAATGCAAAGAACGGAGAATGTTTTTCACCATGATTGGAAAATTAAAAAATAAAGCTGTTTGTCAGCTAACGTTTTTTTATTCATAAACCCTCACAAATTTAAGTTTGTGTTGTTCAGGACATGTTAATGACCAGAAGAGATAGATAAGGTATTTGTTTTTAAAGCCCAGCGAAGGGTTTATTCAACCATGAAATTAGATCTTCTCCCCTAACTCTCCACAAACAAAACAAATTATCCCAGAACGTTGAACTGTTCCTTTAAGGATACACTATAGTAGGATAACTGTAGCTCATAAAATGCAAACCTAAAAAATTGCTAATTTTCTGTAATTGAGAGCAGTCCATTTACAGACATAACTTAAAGGTGCTCAGTGGAGTTTTCTTGTAAACAAATAAAAGTTATGTTTACATTCAGTGTGTCTCACCAATACACATTGCGTGGCTCCCTGACAAAAGTGATGAATGCACTTCCTTCCTCATAAAACCTGTGCAAAGCTGATCTTCCATCGTTTACACCCATGTGTAGTAGGAAGTCTTCTTCTTTTCTGTTTTTCTGTTATGCATCGCTGCAAATATTGCAGCATTACCGGCACCAGTAGATTTGTGCAATAATGGGAATCCATTGCCATGAATGTGTATGGCGTGCATGTGGCATGCACGTGACAAATAAAATGGGGATCCACTCTGAGCAAACTGCTCCATAGCGTTACTAGAGGTAAAAAACAACAACTCCACAAGGAACATTTCATTCCAAATCACATTCAAGCTAACTTTAACCCTAACCAGATCTACAGGACAAACATTGTTGCACTGCGTAGACAGAAGGTCTTAATATCTGCAAAACTCTAGCTTGTATATCACTGTTCTACCTTTTTCTGACACATTAGCTGTGTCTGTATTTTAAGAGGTGCATTTATGGATAGACTACCGATGTGTCGATCAGTTGCGTTGGATCTCTCAGATCTGAGCAGTAACAGTGATGACTACCACTAGATGGCACCATTGTTTATCTCTTGGATTTAAAGAGAAATCGTGTGACCACTATCTCCTTCCTCCTTCCATCATTCCTGCAGAAGACAGTCTCTCCAGTGGCAGGCGGTGGGAAACCCTCGATGCAGGGGTGTGTGGAGGCGTGTGGGGAGGCTGGAGGCCTGTTCCTGCCCAACAGCCCACAGCTTCCTCTTTATCTAACCTCCTCCTCTACATGTTTACTCACACTTGTGTTTAAAGAACAATCTGCCAGCAAATTAAATACTGGCCACAATGCAATGCTCCTTTGTGCTTTCTTCTCCAGATTAGTGCAAGTACATGTAAACATTTTATTAATGTGGCTGAATTTATCCCAATGAAAATCCTATTTCTTAATCAGAATATAATACATTTATTGTCCTTACTGCTCAACAAAAGCTTTAATATTACATATTCCTGTTTCGTTTTGCATTAAAAACTGCAAATTACCAGTAAAATAATAGTCAGAAATCCCTAATCAAAATGTAAAGTGATTTGATTTATTTCATTTTAGTCATCCAAGGGAAATGTTGCTTAAGAAATAGAAATATCTTCGGACATAGAGACACTTTTTTTTTTTTACGCGACAAGTACTGGCTCTGTGTGAATCACAACCAGTCACAACGCCAAAGTTACAACATGCACTGAACAATAGAACATTTATACAGAAACAACAGCATAGAAAGTCAACAGGTAAAAATGAGTTTTGTTTTTTTACAAAACAGACAGCCTCGGGACCTACAAACAACATTGTATAAGAGCTGGCTAAGGTCGTTCAAATAACTTTTTTCAGTTCCCTGGAAACAGTGTACTTTATAAAGACTGATGGCTTAGGCAAGGTTGGGGTCAATTTCACTGAGAGCATAAAACGTAGAAAAAAATATAGCTTGTGTTTTTAATTTGTACTTGGTTTTAATTCGTCTCATGCTCTAATACTGGTTCCTTTTATTGTGTCATGTGTCATGTGTGTTTTACTCCATCACGGTATCCTGAACCAACCCCAACCCTGTAATACAGTGTAATATTCAGAGTATGTGGAATTGGGCTATACTTGCTAAAGCAGTGGTTCTCACTGGGTTTGGAAAGTACCACATCCTTGAAAAGGTTCCTATGGGGTTCTAACAGAAAATAAAAAAAGACCTGAACCTCCTAACAGATAAATTTAGCAGCTAGAGTGACAATCAACTTTGAATAAAAGTTACAAAAAATGCATTTACAGTACAGGTGGGAGCCTTGATATTGAAATGTTTGAGAATATGTGCTCTTCATCTTAGTTTGTATCAATAATTCACCTGATTGTGTTTTCTTCATAAAGCATGATGGTTTAGTCCTTTGAATTACTCCACAAGGATCTCAGTGAAATTAAAAGCTCTTTTAGATGATTGGCTCCCTTGGGAATGGAGGGTAGTAAAATGCCCAAATGAAATAAAAGCAAGGATGACTTGAAAAAATAAATGAATATTTAGTTTTGAATTATGGTGGTACCATGTCACAGTATCACAGTCATGTATGAAATCACGATGTTTCTTTTGCACTACCTTGTCTAAAAGCTTAAGATTATCGTAGTTTCAGGATTTCTGTGTGTATGCTCATAGGTGCGTATATTTGCGTAGTATTTGCCCATAACACATTTCAGTTATCTAAAATAATACGTGCTGTCTGTTCATGGAATATTGATTGTCATCATTATTGAAGATATTTCAGTGGAACATGGTCCTTAGGGGTGGAAGTAATGAAATACATTTACTCTCATTACTGAAACAAAGTAGTATTTTGTGATTTTTTTAAAAAGAATCGGTAATTGGACTTTAACTTAAGTAGCCTAACCAACTATTTATCACAAGTAATGTACTACATTTCAAGTCGCTTCCCTTACAGGGTAAAAACAAAAGTCACATGATGAAGTCCTGATAAACTGTGCGAGAATGGAACATCAGATACATCAGCAGCTGCAGCAGAGAGGAGGTGGCAGGTGTGTGTCTGCGGCTGCAGGAGAGCGGAGCTCCAGAAAGGAGACGCTCCGGAAATGATGACCATAATAAATGTTTGCGTTCACCGGGCCTGATGCACGGGTCATGGCCTGGGGCTAGCACTTCAAACACAATCCAATTAGGGATCACATGGGCTGTGTTTATATTTAGCATTGTAACATTACCTAGGCATAGTTTCAACATTGTTGCATCTATCTTAATTAATGACTAATTTAATGCAACATCCGGCAAGCACGCTATTTGATACCAGCTAACATGTCCGAGTAGCCTGGTTACACGTGGTTGCCTATCAACGTGGTTGCCTGTGCGCGCTTTACGGTGAGCAAAAACTGTGCAGTCTCTCCTTTGCTGTTTATATTGTTTCTACATTGTCTGCTTTAGTGGGGATTTATTCTACTACGTGGTGTCCATAGCTCGTTTTATTTATTGTCGTTTTGTTTCCTCTCTTGTAAGGCTATATCAAGGAAGGCAGATGTATATTCATATAATTAATAATAATTTGTATGCACAGTCTGCAGAGGGCCATTTGTTGGTTTGGACATAAGGGGTTTTCTTGCTGATGTTGTTCCACTTGCGTATAAGTTGACATTTAATGCAATCTACATGGCCTTATCATGTTTAGAATATATTTATACCAGTACAATTACTCTAGTACTCTTTCCACCTCTGTGCACTAAAACCTAAATGATGGGACAGAAGCTCAAATGTTGCTCCATGAGAGGTTGTGTGATCTCAATTCCCTTTATCTGAATGCAATTAAATGAAATTTAATTTAATTTCTTTGACTGATTAAATAGACTCAGGTCATGTCTGACTGACTGAAATGTGTTTCTTTACAACTTAAGAAAACATTGTTAAATCTCCATGGACATTTCGGTGTGAGAGGGTAAAAGATGTTGGCATACATTGGCCTGGACTTTTCATAAGATAAAGATAAATACGCAGTGAAAAGTTAATCACGACCTAACATCCAACTGGTCTTTGAACCAAATGTTTCTCTTGTTGAGACTTACGTCGTCTAACCAAAAGAAAATGAAATGTAATAGACAAAGTTTGCATGTACATCTTTTTGTTGTATAATTTACCTGTGCCACTTCCACCGTGTAAAGTGATATGAAGATATTTATTGTGGGAATAATTAATTAATGCATGATTATAACCAAAGGAGCAGCCAGGCACAGCAAGTTTTTGGGGAGACCTAAAAAATTATACATTCTGAATATCACCAGAAGTCATCTGAAAAGATCCATAAAATGTGCTTCCCCTCTTCTCAGCAGTAAATGAACCTGAACTTTACAAGTAAAGTAATCTTAATATCTCATATCATTAGATTTGCAATTTGTGTTACAGTTGCATGTTAGTCAGAACTGCAGATAGAATATGGGATAAAACAGAAGCAGGTCCCCCCCCCCCCCCCCGACATGCAGCTCATTCTTTCCCATTAAGCGGCAGCGACACTGCTCTAATGCCCTGGCTTCACTGCTGTCTCTCTCTCACACACACACACACACACACGGTTCCCTCTGCCTCTCACAGTCATTGCTATTCCTTTCACACCTCAGCTCCTCTCACTATGGGAGAGCAATATGAAATGGTTCAACTCTGTGATTAAAACAGGAAATGAAATCAGGGTTTGTGATTAGACTCTTAACAACAACACCACCAAAATACATTTGTCGATCATCTTCTTTTGACTTTTGACTAACATTGTACTCAACACCTATATTTATACTAGTGCAATGAACTCTATTATTTGTGTCTTTCACTATTCTACTTGTGCCAGGAAGCTTTTACAGTTTGGTCTTTGATTTTCTTTGAGAATTGGTTTTGTCGGCAGTGAGGTTCTTCTTCATGTCTTGTTAACATTACAGAAAGTTATTATGATTTAAGACATACCTGCTCCTGAATTTTTTAAAGATATTACAAAAATGTTGTAGCTTCACATTCAAAATTAGATTTCATGGGGTTGAGGGAGGAACAGTGCGTTCTTAACACATTATACTAACTCTGCTTATATTGGCTTGGTCTATGAAGTCAATCCTAATATATGATTTAATTCACATTTTTAAGGTTGCGACTATGGTTAAAATACAGCACTTTTGTCCCTCTATGTTCTGTGTATGGTAGTTCATGTAATATGTTTAATTATCAGCGATATGTAAGACTGTTTCTCTTTGCTATGTTGAAATATAAACAGATAATAGAGAATGCATTCAGGGGACTTGTAGTATTTATGAAATGCTACAGAGATTTTATACATTAACATAACAAACGTACAAGGTCCTTACATCATAATGTTACTTTTACACAGTACTCATAAATATGCACAGTGAGGAGTGGCTCTGCTAACATGTGACTGCATACTGTCAATTAATGGGCACATGCCTATGTGCGTGTTCTTGTACTGTATATGTGCTGAACATAAGTTACATGCAATCGGACCTTCCCGCCCCTATTAACAAACCGTTGCTGAGCTGTTGCCAGCCTTTGACAAAAGCTGCTGTCACCATGGAAACTAAATGTATATCTATGTATCCTGAACATTGTCTTTCATCCCTGTGTATCTTTAGTGGGTGTGTGTGTGTGCTCATGCATGGGTTTCATTAGGCCAGGCATTTACAACTCTGACTTATGGTAAAGTTAACCTGGCGGTGTATATTGAGTGCCATTAAAGTTTATTTTGATGATTAAAGGAACAAAGACGAGATGTAAATCTCCCCTGCTATAAATACACGTATATTCCATTATCTGAGAGTGTGATCCCTTTGGACGCTTTCGTGTTGGTCAAAGGGAGGCCAATGCATGCTAAACATCTGTTACTGAAATCTAAACTTTATGTCAGTAAACATATATGGTAAACATAAAAAAAAAAAAAAGAAAAAAGATATTAGAGGTTTTTCATCTGTTTCATTTTTTAAAAACGTCTCATGTTTTTGTATGTTGACCGGTTGGGTGAATGCATGCTCCATAAATGTGCGCTTTATGCAGCTATCAAGCTTATTACCTCTGGCTCTTATCTTATGTTAGCCCATGTCAAAAGTTCTTGGTCCACTACCATCCCTTAAAAAATGATACTGAGGGGCAACAACAATATTCACTGGTCAAGATTTGAAAGTATTGGCCATTCTCACCATGACATGATAACGGGGGGGGGGGGGAAATAGCAAAATACTATTTAAGAAAGAGCACTCCTTATAATGGATGATTGGCTAGAGCCTCCAATAACTGTAGCCTCTGTGCCAAGACATTGAACCTTACACAGGATTACTCTTCACATATGACACAGCAGACTAGCAAATCACACATTTCTATAATTAACTTTCTCTTATCTAAGCTATATAAAAATAAATCAGGTAAGACAATCTCAAGAGTGTATAGGACTTACCATTAGTTCACCCATCAACATTCACACTCACTCACAACATGCATACACACACACACACACACACACACACACACACACACACACACGCTTACAGTATATGCAGATATGCACACCCCTACAAATGTAAATGACTAAGGCCAGTTTTGGGAATGGAGGGCACAAGTAAGTAGCTTATAGGCTTCTAGGTCCTCTCCTGTATCTCCATGACTACAAAATTAATTGGGACTCAGTAATGGGATAGTGGGCAGCTGGGATTTTATTTTCCTAGAGAGTTTAGAGAAATCCCCCAGCCGCTAAAACCATCATTCAGTTTGGTTACACCAGTTATAACCACGTGTCAATTTCTCTGGTGACTCTGCTTCCACGTGGATCTCTGAACAGACCCGTTGGCTACCTGCACGGAGTGCTTTTGTTTTGTGTAATAACACTATCAGGAATGAGTTGAAGGAGGGGCAGTGACATTCTCCAAACTAGAAGTGTTTTTCTCCCAGAGTATTCACTATTCACTATTCACTAGCTTAGTGCCCAATGGCATGCTCAGGTAATTTGTGAAATGTTTCGGTGAGACCCTCTGTCTCTCTCGCTTCCTTTTTCTCTGTCTTATAGAGTGTTTTAAGTTTGTCTGGTGTCTCCATCACAAACACTCTGGCCCCATGTTCCTGTTTATTTCTGCTGCACTTGTACTTCAGAGGTTTTTGTCCAAAGTATTTTGATGCCCCCTCTCAACCTTTGGTCTTCGTGCCATCTCAGGTCCTACGTGATTTTCATGAGCCACCCCACGAATCCCTTCAATGGGGAATAGACAGTTCTGGCCTAGCATTTTCTGGGCTGCTTCTAAATGGTTGCAGCCTTTCTGATAATTGATGGTAAGGCTTCGTTTTGGGCTTGAACCAGCCAAAAGACGCTCTGAGGGACTGACATCAGAGATGTCACGGAGGTGCTCGTCATCATCTGTATCAGCGTCGATGTATTTGCTGATGGAGGAGTCGTGAAAGGTGAAGACAGTTGCTGCCAGGGTAGTGCTATCTGGGGACTTTGGTGGAGTTCTGCTGCTGGCAGTGGTGTAGACAGAAACTTCAGGGCTTAATAGAGACTGGTCCGACATGACTGAGCTGTCTGAGAGAGGGGACGGGCCTGAACCCCCCTCGCTGTGACAGCCTCCTTTGGGGATAAGGCTTTTTGAGGAGTTGCCAGAAAAGAAGAATCTCCGTGTGTTCTCTGTGCAGGAGGGCTTTGTGATAGACACGGGAGTGAGAATAGGCTCACGCTCCCCGATGTATTTTTGGCCTGATTTTGCACTACTGTGCTGGGAGAACCTGTTGAGAGCTGTAGCCGGACTGTGGGAGAACCGGTTGTTTTCTTGAAGACCAAGTTCCATTGCTGGACTATGGGGGTAGCGTGGATTCTCCTGGAAGTCTGTAGCACAACTGATATAACTGTCTATGCTGGACAAGCTTTTCATGTCCCCCACTCCTTCTCTGGCTCCTATAGGTGGCCTGTGATCTTGGATGGCCCCCAGCTCAATCTCATCCCTCTGTTTGCCAATTCTGGAGCCCCTTTCTTTAGCATTGAGGTTTGGCTGGGATTGTGTCATGGCCATCTGGTTGTACATCTCCTCGAGCTTCTGAACATTCAGCCTCTGGGGACTGGTGGCTCCGGCCTTGTTGGGTGAGCCTAGCTCCTGGGCGTTGAAAGAACGGTTTGAGCTTGTCTCTGATGCAGCCCTCTTGGGGGTCCATTTCCAACGGTTTGGAGAGAGATGGTTGTCATGGGGCCTCTCACTCTTCTCTACCACCACATCCATCAGTTCTGCACTACGAGCAAACGCTTCTTTCAAGTTCATTGAGACAATGCTACCATTTCTCTTTGCCCTCTCTAGGGCCTCTCTTCGCTTAAGTGCTTTTTCCTGCCTCTTCTGCTCCTTGTAGAATTCAGAAAAGTTATTTACAATAATGGGAATTGGTAGGGCAATCACAAGCACTCCAGCTATGCAGCATAAACCCCCCACTATCTTTCCCAGTAGAGTTTTTGGGTAAATATCTCCGTAGCCTACTGTGGTCATAGTAATAGTAGCCCACCAGAAAGAAGCTGGAATGCTTTTAAACTTTGTATCCTCCTCATCCTTCTCAGCAAAGAACACAAGACTGGAGAAGATCATGATGCCCATGGCTAGGAAAAGAATAAGCAGGCCCAGCTCATTGTAACTCCTCCTAAGAGTGAAGCCTAGAGACTGAAGACCTGTGGAGTGACGAGCCAGCTTCAGAATACGTAGGATACGCATGATACGAAAAATCTGAACCACGCGGCGGACATTCTGAAATTGCAGTACACTCTTGTTGGATTCTGTCAAGAAGATGGTGACGTAGTATGGCAAGATGGCCAACAGGTCAATGACGTTCAGAGGACCCTTAAAGAACTTCCATTTGCTGGGGGAGGAGAGGAAGCGAAGAAGGTACTCCATGGTAAACCAGGCAATACACACAGCTTCCACATGGGCCAGTTGTGGGTTGTCTGAAGACTGGCCAAACTCATCCGTGTCCTGCAGCTCTGGAAGGGTGTTCAGAGACAAGGCAATGGTGGATAGAACGATGAAGAGGATGGAGATAATGGCCAGGATCTGAAAGAAAAATTAATGAAAATGATATTAGTAAGGCTTGCAGGATCAGGGAATTACTCATTAAAACCAGATATCATATGTATTTAAGCATAAACTACACATTTCATATATTTTAAATGGGTTTTGAATCGAGTAAGAAATTGTTAATAATATTTCCAATAACCTTACAGTCTAAAAACTTCAATAAACCTGAGTGTGAAGTGTGTCGTTGGCTCTGACCACTTATTTATTCATGACTCTCTTATCAGGGTTATTCACATGAGCAAGTTTCCTTGAGTGAAAAAATAGTGCTCAACCACCAACCAATAAACAAAAGCAAGAGCATCACAGAATGCACTGTAGCTTGTTTAAAATCTCTGACAATGTCTCCAGTTATTTAGTAAATTACATAAAACTCTTCTTTTTGGGTAGATGGAAATTTTTAGAAATAAAATGTAAGGATGTTTCCATATTTAAAAAAGGTCTGCAGCCATGTGGCTGTACTTAGGCACAGCTAATGTGGATGGAGCATGGATGTCTGAATACCATGGCAATACATTTAATAGCTGTTGATTCAGGTTACACTTGAATTGTAATTCCTCTTAATTTTGAAGATTTTTTTTACCAAGTTGTTTGTGTACGATTTGTTTTAAAAACTAAACCTGCAGTGGCACCACCATGACATAAAAATGAATATGCAGTAGTCACGTAGGCACAGAATGTCTCCAGAATCCATTGCACTAGATGACAGCTGATTCATCTTACACAGTACAGAGAACTGGGGAGTTTGTCAGAAAACAGCACCTTAACACACACACACACACTCACTCCACCAATCATGCTAACAAGCAAGCATGTGGCGGTAGACTACACTTCTTTTAGCACTGTATGACAGCTCCCATCTAGAATTCATAGTGTAAACAAAACAATCCCTGCATTTGCTCTGAAGCACATTATTCTTGTAGCTTGAGCTTGTTTGATCTGAATAAGTGACTATTTTGTTATACCACGATGAAAAATACCTAAGGAAATGTTTCAAAGTTATCCAGCCTCTAATCTCCGACCAGAAGTGTTTCATGTTTAGGGCGTATTTTGTGATGAAGAACTGATAGCACTACTGCTGTGCGCTGTTAAGGATGAGATTCTTTGTTTGAATCCATAAATAAATTGATGTGACATCCCAGACTAAAGGTCAGTTTACCAAAATCTATTAAAATGTTTCCTCCTCACTTAGAGGTACATACACAAGCTTTTTTTGTCCCCAAGATTTGACATATCAACCGCCAAGACTACAGCTGCACCCCAAGGAAGATGCATATAATGTTGCCACCGAAAACACAGATATTTGTCTTTCCTGAAACGTTACAGTCACTTTCATTTGAGCTAGTCTTCAGAACTAAGAAACCATGAAAACTGGTCTGTGGATTATCCAATAGGAATAAGTAAGAAAGTCTCTTTTTTAGCCTTAATTTTATTTTCTGTAATATTTGAGTAAATGGCCTTTTAGTTTTAGATTTGTTAAGATGCCATTTGGGCTGTGTGTATATGCATATATGCAGTTTCTTTTAAGGGTTTATTTCATTACTAAAAATATCCATGTCAGACATTGGCTTCCCCTGTGTCCATCCCACTGATTTAGTTTTATAAAGAGGTTCCAAAATCAGCTTTCCGAAAACATGGGGACGAAGGGCACAAATTCAACTGCTTGATCTTGGTGTCGAGATATAAGAGCAGAGTGATGATGAATCACAGAAGCAGCATAATCCAGCAGTGTATATTTATCATAAAATAACATTTATAAACATATAATATAGCTAATTTTTATGCTTTTACACAAAGCATTACATATTTTAACTACAGACTAGACAACTTCAGATGACTTGTGTGCCTGCATAATCCACGCTAAATGCACCTTTTGTGGGAGGCTTCAAAACTGACTATAGAGCAGTGAACTCGGCAAAGGTAATGTGGAAGGTGAGCCTTGGTCCTCTAGTGGACCAAGGACAGGATTACTTCATGAGCTATAGTCTGCATTTGTTATATTAACCCTCAATGACTATGAGAAATCCTGACACAGGACTAAACAGCACAACTTGGGGGATGAGTAGGAGGTTGTAGCTGGAACACAGAGCCTGTTTTGGCAATAGCCCACACGAATAAGGTTAGGATGTTACATGATGAAATAAATCAGAGAAAAGTAAAACAATATTCTTGAAAAAGAAGGCAAAATACCTATTCATAATACACCATGTAACATCTAATGTAGATGAGTGTGAAATTAATTATTTCAGTGTGATTTAATTTGCATCATAAAACAGGTAAAAAATGATACTTTCCTCCTCCCTATACTTGTTAAGCTTGATCCAAAGCTCATCCATAAACTGGATCTCCTGGTTAAACACTCAGTCACTTGTGTTAGCAAACAGACCAAAGGCCAGCATAGAGCTCATGATGCAGGGTTTCCCTTTTCCTCATCCGGAGGAAATTAAAGCACAGCAGCAGAAATAGGGCGAGGGCAACGGTTGTTAGGAAGTGATTGACAGCACAGGCCTTGACAACGGCCTGATATGTGAGGAGTCTACTCCCAAGAGTCAACGTGATGGCTAAAGAGGCAACCTTATCTACGACCAATCACAGCAGGAGGACACTGTTGCCATAGCGTCACGGCAGGCATGAATAATGACCCTATCTGTTTATTTTCTCCCCCTCCGTGCTCCTCTCCTCCTGCCCTGGAAACCCCCCCTATGTTAAATCAAACACTTGAAGAGCAGAGAGGTGCTGGGACCGAAGAGCGAAGGTGAGCTGACGAGTGGCCGCACAAAACTGAATGGATAGAGAGAGGAAAGAACATCACGATGTTAAAGAGAACAATATCTGTACGAAGTAAATAACAGGTTGTATTGCTTGTGTCAAACTGCACCTATCTTTGTAAAATAAACAAGAAAAAAACTATTAAAAGGCCCATATTGTAAAAAGGGAGATTTTCATGTCTTCTTTTGTTTTTACTATAAAGAATTTCTAGGCGCTATATAAATGCTGTTTTAAGTATCGAAACGCTCAATCCATGGAGAAATACACACAGCCCATATTTAGAAAGTGCCTTTAAACGAGCAGTCGGGATCTCTGTACCCGGTGTATTTATGGCTGCGGTGTATGATAATGAAATCAGCTGACAGGAAGTGAAGACACGGACCCAAGCTGTTGCCTAGCAACACAATTCCATTGAAACAGAGTAAAATGGAGCGCTTCAGACGGAGGGTGAATACCGGTGTATTCAGACTGACAGTGTGAACAGCATTAAACATTTTTGAAACATTAAGGCGCGTAAACATTTTCTACACGTCTCCTTTTTAAAGTTCACTCATTGAGGAGCAGATGCAATGGTGTTGTCATGAGTCAGAAAAAAGGATGTCGATAACAAATCCTTAAGCCGCGGGAGATTGTAGCAACGTAATAGAAGGAGAGGAAAAAAAAGGGCAGAAGTAATAGGATTGAGAAGCTATAAAAAGGTCGCTAATGAAGGCACACTGGTGCTGCTGTGTAACATTATGGTTATGAGGTCAGGTTCCACAAGGAAACCCTGCTCATTTCCCACTGGCCTTTGTCCCTGTTGCCACTGTCTCTACACACTCTGCACTCACTCACACTGCCTTGCGTGTCTTTGTCTCTTTCTGTCCTGGGTATTTAATGTCACAGGGCACTAATTTCATCAAACTATTGCAATGTAAATCTGAGATAAAGATTTACCAGTGTACAGCAAACAAACACTAGTCTAGGAAATGGTTGAATGGAGCCCAAGACATAACTGTAATGGTATCAATGCAATTACAGGCTATTTATAGACTCTCAGTGGATGAATGCACGTTACGCGTGCCTCGTTATGAATACTCAGTTATTGCAACTAGATTATATAAACACAAAAAGTGAGAGTGACTCCCAGTGAATGTTCCTTGGTGGCCTACTAAAGGGAGGAAAGGATGAAGGGGGGGGGGAGATATTTATATCTAGAGGAGAGGAAAAGTCAACACGTGTTCAAGAGATGGAGAGAGTGAGAGAGAGTGAGAGAGAGAGAGAGCAGATTGACAGGAAATCCCACTGTGACACTTAACAAAGCCAGATCACACTTTTTTGTCTCTCGAGAAATATCGTCGTCTGGCTCACCAGACCCAATAGTCCACACAGACCCACATCTTCTATAGGACAAGGTGACACCAGCCCTCATTAGGCTTTTTGAAAAGATATCTGGGACACAACTGGTGTGAAGGACGCCCTGAAAAACCACCCAAACACATACGCAACCTGTGACATTCTCCTCCAAGTTACATATGGGAGGGAATTCATTTCATATACGGGACAGGGAATAAGCCTTCAGACAAGAAAATCATTGCACAGGGAATATTGTCTCATACACTATACACCAAAACAATTTCTGCTCTCCAGAAGCACATACACTTGGGGCTCAGAGAGAAGAAAAACGTAGTTATTTACAATTAGTCCGTATAATGCAGTTGTCCTTGCTGTTTGCTCTCTCTCCAGCTCTCGCTCAAATACAATTGTCTGGTTTTATGCTGGCTGTGTCCCAGCAGATGTGATTAATTTCCTTTGTGCTACATTGGGTTTCGTCAAGGTTGGGTCTATTCATCTGTCTCCCCAGCACCCGGCCACCAAGGAGGGAACCTTGAACCTTTGCACTTTTTATATAGACTTTAAAAAATGTGCAGTATTATCAGTCAGATATTAACCATTAAACCGCTGATGTAAATGTGAGCAAAAGGTTGAGGGAAATTACAGTAGTAGTAAGACATCAGCTATAAAGAATGAATAATATAATGTTGTATTTATTATATTGAATAAGGGCTGAACAATATATCGACTAGGTATCGTCTGGATATTGTAATATGGCATAAGTGTTTTTCTTTTGATGATTTTACAAAATGTCGTTGTGTGAATATTTTGTAAAATCACCAATATTCAATCCAACCGTCGCAATATCGATATTGAGGTATTGACGCAAAAATATT